TTCGCCGCTAGCTGCCAAAAATCGCGCGATTTTCGCCGCTAGCGGCCAGAAACTATGCGATTTTTGCAGCTGGCGGGCAAAAATAGCGCGATTTTCGCCGCTACCGGGCAAAAACCGCGCGATTTTCACCGCTAGCGGCCAAAATCCATGCGATTTTCGCAGCTGGCGGGAAAAAATCGCGATTTTCGCCGCTACCGGCCAAAAATCGCGCGATTTTCGCCGCTAGCTACCAAAAACCGTGCGATTTTCGCCGCTATCGGCCAAAAATCGGGCGATTTTTGCGGCTAATGGCCGAAAATCGCGCGATTTTCGCCGCTAGCGGCCAGAAACTATGCGATTTTTGCAGCTGACGGGCAAAAATAGCGCGATTTTTGCCGCTACCGGCCAAAAACCGCGCGATTTTCACCGCTAGCGGCCAAAATCCATGCGATTTTCGCTGCTGGCGGGTAAAAATCGCGATTTTCGCCGCTACCGGCCAAAAATAGCGCGATTTTCGCCGCTAGCGGCCAAAATCGTGCGATTTTCGCCGCTAGCGGCCAAAAATCGGGCGATTTTTGCGGCTAACGGCCGAAATCCGCGCTATTTTCGAGGCTAGCGGCCAGAAACTATTGCGATTTTTGCAGCTGGCGGGCAAAAATCGCGCGAATTTCGCCGCTACCTGCCAAAAATCGACCGATTTTCGCCGCTAGCGGCCAAAAATGGGGCTATTTTCGCCGCAAGCGGCCAAAAATCGTGCAAATTTCGCCGCTAGCGGCCAAAAATCGTGCGAATTTCGCCGCTAGCGGCCAAAAATCGCGCGATTTTCGCCGCTAGCGGCCAGAAACTATGCGATTTTTCCAGCTGGCGGGCAAAAATAGCGCGATTTTCGCCGCTACCGGCCAAAAACCCCGCGATTTTCGCCGCTAGCGGCCAAAAACCACGCGATTTTCGCCGCTACCGGCCAAAAACCGCGCGATTTTCACCGCTAGCGGCCAAAATCCATGCGATTTTCGCAGCTGGCGGGCAAAAATCGCGATTTTCGCCGCTACCGGCCAAAAATAGCGCGATTTTCGCCGCTAGCGGCCAAAAACCGTGCGATTTTCGCCGCCAGCGGCCAAAAATCGGGCGATTTTTGCGGCTAACGGCCGAAAACCGCGCTATTTTCGATGGTAGCGACCAGAAACCATGCGATTTTTGCAGCTGGCGGGCAAAAATCGCGCGAATTTCGCCGCTACCTGCCAAAAATCGACCGATTTTCGCCACTAGCGGCCAAAAAAGGGGCGATTTTCGCCGCTAGCGGCCAAAAATCATGCGAATTTCGCCGCTAGCGGCCAAAAATCGCGCGATTTTCGCCGCTAGCTGCCAAAAATCGCGCGATTTTCGCCGCTAGCGGCCAGAAACTATGCGATTTTTGCAGCTGGCGGGAAAAAAATCGCGATTTTCGCCGCTACCGGCCAAAAATGGCGCGATTTTCGCCGCTAGCTACCAAAAACCGTGCGATTTTCGCCGCTATCGGCCAAAAATCGGGCGATTTTTGCGGCTAATGGCCGAAAATCGCGCGATTTTCGCCGCTAGCGGCCAGAAACTATGCGATTTTTGCAGCTGACGGGCAAAAATAGCGCGATTTTCGCCGCTACCGGCCAAAAACCGCGCGATTTTCACCGCTAGCGGCCAAAATCCATGCGATTTTCGCAGCTGGCGGGCAAAAATAGCGCGATTTTCGCCGCTACCGGCCAAAAACCCCGCGATTTTCGCCGCTAGCGGCCAAAAACCGCGCGATTTTCGCCGCTACCGGCCAAAAACCGCGCGATTTTCACCGCTAGCGGCCAAAATCCATGCGATTTTCGCAGCTGGCGGGCAAAAATCGCGATTTTCGCCGCTACCGGCCAAAAATAGCGCGATTTTCGCCGCTAGCGGCCAAAAACCGTGCGATTTTCGCCGCCAGCGGCCAAAAATCGGGCGATTTTTGCGGCTAACGGCCGAAAACCGCGCTATTTTCGACGGTAGCGGCCAGAAACCATGCGATTTTTGCAGCTGGCGGGCAAAAATCGCGCGAAATTTGCCGCTACCTGCCAAAAATCGACCGATTTTCGCCACTAGCGGCCAAAAAAGGGGCGATTTTCGCCGCTAGCGGCCAAAAATCATGCGATTTTCGCCGCTAGCGGCCAGAAACTATGCGATTTTTGCAGCTGGCGGGCAAAAATAGCGCGATTTTCGCCGCTAGCGGCCAAAAACCATGCGATTTTCGCAGCTGCCGGGCAAAAATCGCGATTTTCGCCGCTACCGGCCAAAAATAGCGCGATTTTCGCATCTAGCGGCCAAAAACCGTGCGATTTTCGTCGCTTGCGGAGAAAAATCGGGCGATTTTTGCATCTAACGGCCGAAAACCGCGCTATTTTCGACGCTAGCGGCCAGAAACCATGCGATTTTTGCAGCTGGCGGGCAAAAATTTCGCCGAATACCTGCGAAATTCACACTATAGGAAGACATGATGACCAAACCATGTATAAGGTGAAAGTGTGAGCCGAGTGATAGGTAAGAGAAAGATTAGAATATGATGAAAGTAAGAATGAGGTAAGAATAGATTGAGTGTAAGGAAAAAGAGTAATGTAAAAATAAGAGGAAGGGTAAGAATAAGAAAAGGGGGATTAGAATAAGCAACAGGGGTAGGCTTCAGTCAGGTCACGTTTGTTAAGTAGGTTGGGGCATGGGAGTGTGACTGTGACAGGCAAGAGTCAACACCAACAGCTTAAGGCAGGTCACGTTTGTTTAGAAGGTTGGGGCATGGGAGAGTGACTGTGACAGGCAAGAGTCAACACCAACAAAGCCAGGACTAAGGTTCATGTTGGGAAGGTTGTGTATCAGAGCCCAGTCAACAAGACGGCGTCTGTGAAGAGTAGAGGCACCAAAGATTATTGTAGAACAAGACCAATCAACAGTATGATTAGAGTCCCTAACATGACAGAAGACCAATCACTAGCATGATTAGTCCTGGTGCTGGTGACTTCCCTTTCACAGATCATAAATGCTCTAACCACAACTTTTGTTTTCATTGGTGTTTCTGCTATATAGGAACAAAAATAGCAAATTACTTATAAACAAAATAGGTTTCAGCTATTAAGGATGCAATTAGCTTTCAAATTTTATTGCCTTTAAACTACAGCAATTTTTATTATACATTATTTTTAAAATGCACACAATATGAGGAATCGACATTTAATTAAATGTATATGATATGGAACACCACCATGTATATAAAAAATCTTTCATTGTCAACCATGTGGAACAGTTCCCAACCATGTGGAGTAGATCCCAACCATGTGGAGCAGGTCCCAACCATGTGGAGCAGGTCCCAACCATGTGCAGCAGGTCCCAACCATGTGGAGCAGGTCCCAACCATGTGGAGTAGATCCCAACCATGTGGAGCAGGTCCCAACCATGTGGAGCAGGTCCCAACCATGTGGAGCAGGTCCCAACCATGTGGAGCAGTTCCCAACCATGTGGAGCAGGTCCCAACCATGTGGAGCAGGTCCCAACCATGTGGAGCAGGTCCCAACCATGTGGAGCAGTTCCCAACCATGTGGAGCAGTTCCCAACCATGTGGAACAGGTCCCAACCATGTGCAGCAGTTCCCAACCATGTGCAGCAGTTCCCAACCATGTGCAGCAGTTCCCAACCATGTGGAGAAGGTCCCAACCATGTGGAGCAGTTCCCAACCATGTGGAACAGGTCCCAACCATGTGCAGCAGTTCCCAACCATGTGGAGAAGGTCCCAACCATGTGCAGCAGTTCCAAACCATGTGGAACATGATCATGAAACCCAGAACTTAATTCCAGGTTTGGAAAGCATTCAATAATGTCACTTAAAATTTAAGCAGCTCATACCCTTGTTTCCTAAACAATGTATACAGTATTCTTCAGTCTTCCAATCACATCTGCACTACTGTATTTTCAAATAAATTGAAGTAATGAAATTCTAATTCAAACTAATATAATGTGCATGACCAAACCACACACCAGAAGATGATGAGACGGCGATGTTTCGGTCCGTCCTGGACCATTATCATGTCGATTGTGGCAATCGACATGATAATGGTCCATGATAGACCGAAACGTCGTCGATTCATCGTCGTTGTTTCGTTGTCGTCAGTGTGTGGTTTGGCCGTCATATCTTCAGCCTCATTACATTTATTGTGATTCATCCTCTGTACATAATGTGCATCTTGGACAAACATAACGTATAGAATATGTGCATTATAAAAGCATTGCCGTGTTGCAGCACTAATTTCCTGTGTGACAACAGAGGATATGCTAAATTGTAGAAAATGCCAATACTTTTAATTTCTTGAAATCATTTGCAACCTGCAGCAAAATTTTACAATTCAACCAGGCTGCGAGTCATACGTCAGGCTGCGAGCACCCCACGTCCAACAGCCTGGTTGACCAGGCTACCAACCCGGAGGCCTGGTCAGAGACTGGACCACAGGGACGTTGAACCCCTTGGAAACGACATAAAGTAACTGCAAGGTAACCGTTCACATCAAATATTTTTAATTTTTATAGCTCAAAAAATTGATCGTACCAATATCCACTTAATTTGTTTTCAGAGGGAAACATTTCTTCATAAGTGTGCAATCAATGTTTTATAGAGTATATCAACTTTCTTGGTTGAAGCACAAATATATATACTGTACAGGAGGAAGGAATACTGGAATATATATATTGACCTATATATATATATATATAGAATATATATATCAGGAAAACTTGGCTTATATATAGTAGGCCAAAATATATATATATATATATATATATATATATATATATATATATATATATATATATATATATATATATATATATATTTAGGAGAACAATACCCTGTACTGTATGTCTAATTATTAATAACAAAAAAATCACAAATTTGGTAATTTTGTTGGTAAAATATTGATCATCACTTGCAACAATTCTGCAAATTTGCTAAATCATCATTAAACTTCACTGAAGTACTCAAACCACACTTGCATGATTAAAAGTTTATTATATATACCCAAATATACAATGGTTATAATTGGCCAAGATTGTTTAAAATGGCCATGTGTGTTACCACATGACAACTTTCCCATTGAATTTAAAACCAAAATTATTATCTAACTGAAAAATGCTAGTAAAATTGGTAGTCTTTTTTTATGAATTATTTAGATCAAAAGAATGCCACACACACACAAGCGTAGCTCTCATCCTGTAACTACACTTAGGTAATTACACACACACACACCCTCGGTTGTAACAAGACATTGCCCTAGCAAATCCTGTGGGACTTTTCCTATATTTATTATTATATATACAGTAAATAAATTCTACTTGTCAAAGTTACAAAACGGTTGTCAAAATTGACATGTAAAAATATCATTGTCATATCTGTAGCCTAAACAAGTCTTGATATTAAAATCAATTACTTTATTATGGTAAGTCAGCTATATTAAGCGTTTGAAACCAATATAAAGACCTCAGAGGTAGAAATATGTAGTAGTATTGAAAGTTTGAGAGTAACTAGACATTACTCTGAAAAAATGTATTTAGGAAACGGTAACCCCCGGCAACATTATTGCTGTCAAACTTATATCCACAAAATTGAGATATACATCACAGTTCTTTACACAGTATTATGTAGGATATTTCTAACCTAGTAGAAATAGTAGTAATATTAAAGCAGTAGTAATATTAAAAAAAATTACTATGTATTTCATTAAACACAGCAAATAATAAATATAAAAACTGATACATCAAGCTATATCTGACTTTCTGTGTTCAAACTGACCACCACGTTCGTATCCCTTTCGTATTTTCTGGAGATAATTGTCCACAGGGGGCAGCAGTAATGGTATCTTCATGATGACAGCAATGAATGGTGGGTAGAGCGCATACTGAAATGAGATTAGGAATTAAATTTATAATATTTATAGAAATATTTCTCAATTATACATACTTTACCCCAGGGGGGGGGGGGGCCATCACTATTGACTTTAGCGGTCACAGGAAGTCACTGGCTTATAAAAAGTCCTCCCCATTATTCCCGAGGATATTTCCTAGTTGAAATCTGAAATGGGGGTACTGTCGGGTAAGATGGAGCGCCACGAGAGGGTAATTACCTAAGTGTAGTTACAGGATGAGAGCTACGCTCGTGGTGTCCCGTCTTCCCAGCACTCTTTGTCATATAACGCTTTGAAACTACTGACGGTCTTGGCCTCCACCACCTTGTGTGTTACTCGGTGCTGTCTAGGCTACTTGGTGTTGGACATTTATAGTGACAATATCTTGGTCAGGAAACAGAGAAACCCTGTCTTGAGTTAATGGCAAAACTAGATTTCGTGACAATGCACGTGTCCTTTCTTAATGGTTAAGGAGGAGAATGTCATGCTCCAAAATCCTCTGCAGGAAAAAAAAAAGAAGAGAAAGCAAATGAGATGTGGACCAGCATCAGCAAGAAAAACCTTATAATTAAAAAGATAAGGCAAACGTGATGAGTAATTAGCAAGAATAGAGTTATTGAAGATCAACATAAGATGAATAAGACCAGAAACAAAAATGCTAACAATTTTAGCAAAAATGCTAAATTTTTATTTAACAATAAAAAAAAAGACATTTTAATTGGTGGAGACTCAGGTTAAGCACTTGGATCGAAAGATTGTGCAACGAGGCTAGTAAGGAGGAGGTTGGCGAGGTTCCCTGGGGTCGACAGAGAGAGAGAGAGAGAGAAGATTAAGCCACCCAAAAGGTGGCACGGGCATGAATAGCCCGTAAGTGGTGGCCCTTTTGAGCCATTACCAGTATCACTAGCTGATACTGGAGATCTGTGGAGGTGCGACTGCACCCTGCGTGACGGGAGATGTCTCCCGTGTGGGGTTGACAACATCTATAACGTTTATAGCAGGTATGATGTGTGTGCATGAAATTGGGTACATCTCTTCAGGGCAGAGATGACAGCCATAGATTGATTGATGAAGATTAAGCCACCCAAGAGGTGGCACGGGCATGAATAGCCCATAAGCAGCCATAGGTAATGGAGTAGAAGGCGGCCATTTCAGGGTGTTTAAACTGGTAGATAATAGTAATCTGGATTTGTACTGGTTGAGAGGCCATTTTAAACATGGTAATCAAGCTGGGAAAATGGAGGTAAAATGTTGGGGCAAAAATAAGAAAATACTAAGGATTTTTATCCCTAAATCCTTTATCAAGAATTCTCAAGACAACAGAGGAATCAAAGATGGACACTAGCATAAATATAACTGATACAAGTATATTAATAATAATAATAATAATAATTTTTATTTAGGTAAGGTACATACATAAAGAGATTTTACAAAGTTTGTTGGCTTAATAGATAGAGCTAGTACATACAATGCCTAAAGCCACTATTACGCAAAGCGTTTCGGGCAGCTTATTACAGGCTTATTACGGGCATATTACACAAATACAGTAGCAGGACTATTGCAATCCTGAATCCTCAATTGTAATAATCATCCAACAAATAAAATACAGGACCATAGACAGCAAACATGAATGGTTCAAAGGGTACCACATGATCTCGAGGTTATCTTGAGATGATTTCAGGGCTTTAGTGTCCCGCGGCCCGGTCCTCGACCAGGCCTCCACCCCCAGGAAGCAGCCTGTGACAGCTGACTAACACACAGGTACCTATTTTACTGCTAGGTAACAGGGGCATAGGGTGAAAGAAACTCTGCCCATTGTTTCTCGCTGGCGCCCGGGATCGAACCCGGGACCACAGGATTACAAGTCCAGCGTGCTGTCCGCTCGGCCGACCGGCTCCCAGAATGATAGTCAGAATCTATTGTTCTTAGCTAAGCAAAAGTTGTCAAAGAATTCACTTTCAGGATATATTTGCAACACATGCACGAAACTTTAAGGGCCTTGAAATGAGTGACCCCATGTGAGCCTTCTATTCAATATCAGCACAAATACTGTACAGGCAGACTTCATGGATATGAAAAAGATGCATGGCCACAGTATTTTGTGGGTGAAAGTATAGTTATACACCTTTGTCCCATAGGGGAGCCGGTCGGCCGAGCGGACAGCACGCTGGACTTGTGATCCTGTGGTCCTGGGTTCGATCCCAGGCGCCGGCGAGAAACATTGGGCAAAGTTTCTTTCACCCTGAATGCCCCTGTTACCTAGCAGTACAATAGGTACCTGGGTGTTAGTCAGCTGTCACGGGCTGCTTCCTGGGGGTGGAGGCCTGGTCGAGGACCCGGCCGCGGGGACACTATATAAAGCCACGAAATCATCTCAAGATAACCTCAAGATAACCCATTGGGATACCCAGTTGGAGGGCGTTTGGAAACCTCCCTTCTGCAACTGACCAAAATCAACATGGCGTCCACTTCCAAGAGACAGAAGAATATTAAGGAGCTAAAGATTGTTAGCAGCAATAATCAAGAGGAGTAAATATAAAGACCAATTTAATAAATTTACTGTACTTACTTGTGGGCCTATTGGGAGAGTTCTGAAGCATCCCCAGTAAAGGAACATGTAATGCCATGCAAGGAAGATGTCATGGGAAGATGCTGCAATCAGAGCTACCCAGCCAAGCTTGCTCTGAATGAAGGTGAATTCTTTCCAAGATAGAGTGGCTGTGACGGATGGTAAGGACGTGATACCCAGTATGACTAGAAGACATGTTGCAATGGCTCCTGGGGGGGAAAAGCAAAGAAGCTGTCATACCGTACTTACTAGATGCATTTGCATAATGAACACAGAATCAATACATAACAAGTTAATGCACATGAACATGTAAACGAGATTGTCATAAAATATCTATATAAATATATGCGCTTCACAAAAAGTGGAACATACAAGTGCAAAGAGCAGTAGAAAACTAAAGAATATATGACCAACCACTTTCTTGTTTTTCAACACGTTATATGTATAATTATATTGCACAAGATGAAAGAGCTTGAATGGTCCACAAGCCATAAATCACTAGCTCGTAGACACCCTCGTAGTCTAGCTCTAGCGTAGTCTAGCTCGTAGACACCCTCATAGTCTAGCTCTAGCGTAGTCTAGCTCGTAGACACCCTCGTAGTCTAGCTCTAGCGTAGTCTAGCTCGTAGACACCCTCGTAGTCTAGCTCTAGCGTAGTCTAGCGTAGACACCCTCGTAGTCTAGCTCTAGCGTAGTCTAGCTCGTAGACACCCTCGTAGTCTAGCTCTAGCGTAGTCTAGCTCTAGCGTAGACACCCTCGTAGTCTAGCTCTAGCGTAGTCTAGCTCGTAGCACTAGACGGGACACCACGAGCATAGCTCTCATCCTGTAACTACACTTAGGTAATTACTAAGAATTCCATAACCCCCTCGGGCATACACAGTACTGAAACCACTTCACCAGCGATCGCCTATAAAGATTTGTCAGTCCTTGTTGGGTCATAGTGTTCCTAGTGATTACAAGAGGAATACTTTGGTAGAAATAGCCTAAGCTACTCTATCCCTTTGAGATGTATTTATTTCTTGTCTCAATAAACATACTTGAACTTGAACTTTGGTAGCAGTGGCTCCTGCAGAAATGCATTACTGAATATTAACAAGAGTTAAGTCAGAAGTAAGCAAAATAATGTATACAAATTGAATAAGTTTAGATTCAGAGTAACCTGGGTAAATATTGGTCTAGGAATAGGTTTGTGGTTATATGATTCAAATAACTGGGTAACATAACAGACGTTGGATTGCTGGATTGGGTCAAGCGAAAGTTTAGCATATATATGAACAAATTTGGAAGCCTCGTATGAGCCAACGGTTTTTTTTTGCAGTTTCCCTCATTCTTATGTTATGATTCTCTTGGTTCTTTTTCAATTCAGTAAGATGAAAAATTAAATCTCTAAAACTTGACAACTTAGTAATGCCTAATGCATTTTGGAAAATTCAATTTAGCCTCCTCCATGACAGAAGAAAAGGGAATTTGAAAGGTTACACATCAATATATATCTAGTCCCTCTATTCTAGTCCCTACTTTGTAAAAACTCAATATACTAAGTCCCTGCAAGTTTGGTTTCTGTTCCCAAAAAGAGTACCAATGAATGCCATTAGTATGCTTGATATAATCAACACTCCCCTTGACAAAAATGAGCTCCCAATTGGCCTCTTCACTGACCTGAGAAAGGCCTTGGACACTGTAAACCATAACTACCTCTTAAACAATTGTCCAACCTCTGCCCTGTCCAAGAGTAAAATAAAAAGTACCTAATTTCATCTTCATAGTTTCCTACCTTGTGCTTCAAACTCTCACTGTGTGTTGACCAGACCACACATGAAGGTGAAGGGATGACGACGTTTCGGTCCATCCTGGACCATTCTCAAGTCGATTGTGAGAATGGTCCAATCGACTTGAGAATGGTCCAGGACGGACCAAAACGTCGTCGTCCCTTCACCGTGTAGTGTGTGGTCTGGTCAACATACTTTAGCCACTTTATTGTGACTCATCGCCTCACACTGTATCTTGTACTACCCACTTGCCCAATATTAGTACTTAAGACATACATCCTCACCAGTGTAATCATCCCTCTCAACTTACATTGTAGTTATTTATTGATACAGAAACCTTGCTACAATTGCTTAATTGATATGTAAGACTACCAATCTTATGTAATCTCACCAACCCATTGTACCGTCTTTCAAATATATTATTTATTTATTTATTTATGCATATACAAGAATGTACATAAGGAATGTGAGGATACAAATATGGTAATTACAGTCTTGTAAAGCCACTAGCACGCGCAGCGTTTCGGGCAGTTTTTTTTTCGGGCATTATTATTATTGTTATAGTTCATGTGACTTTGCCAAGAGGCAAGGTGGTTAGGCTTCCACTAAGACAGTTTAACCTGGTCCTGTACTCACCTAGTAGCATTCTTATCCTGTATTGTTATTGGTCTACTGGGGTAGTGAGATGGGCACCAACTGGCAGTATTCTGTGTCTGTGCACAAGTCTATTATGTTTATTGAAGTGAAATTATTATTATTAGTAGTAGTATTTGGGGAGATACCCACTGACAGCAGGGTATGTGTTATACAAGGTATGTGTTATACAAGGTATGTGTTATACAAGAGTGTGTGTTATACAAGAGTGTGTGTTATACAAGGTGTGTGTTATACAAGAGTGTGTGTTATACAAGAGTGTGTGTTATACAAGGTGTGTGTTATACAAGAGTGTGTGTTATACAAGAGTGTGTGTTATACAAGAGTGTGTGTTATACAAGGTGTGTGTTATACAAGAGTGTGTGTTATACAAGGTGTGTGTTATACAAGAGTGTGTGTTATACAAGGTGTGTGTTATACAAGAGTATGTGTTATACAAGGTGTGTGTGTTATACAAGAGTGTGTGTTATACAAGAGTGTGTGTTATACAAGAGTGTGTGTTATACAAGAGTGTGTGTTATACAAGAGTGTGTGTTATACAAGAGTGTGTGTTATACAAGAGTGTGTGTTATACAAGAGTGTGTGTTATACAAGGGTATGTGTTATACAAGGTGTGTGTTATACAAGGTGTGTGTTATACAAGGTGTGTGTTATACAAGGTGTGTGTTATACAAGGTGTGTGTTATACAAGAGTGTGTGTTATACAAGGTGTGTGTTATACAAGGTGTGTGTTATACAAGAGTGTGTGTTATACAAGGTGTGTGTTATACAAGGTGTGTGTTATACAAGAGTGTGTGTTATACAAGGTGTGTGTTATACAAGGTGTGTGTTATACAAGGTGTGTGTTATACAAGAGTGTGTGTTATACAAGGTGTGTGTTATACAAGGTGTGTGTTATACAAGAGTGTGTGTTATACAAGGTGTGTGTTATACAAGGGTATGTGTTATACAAGGTGTGTGTTATACAAGGTGTGTGTTATACAAGAGTGTGTGTTATACAAGAGTGTGTGTTATACAAGAGTGTGTGTTATACAAGAGTGTGTGTTATACAAGGGTATGTGTTATACAAGGTGTGTGTTATACAAGGTGTGTGTTATACAAGAGTGTGTGTTATACAAGGTGTGTGTTATACAAGGTGTGTGTTATACAAGAGTGTGTGTTATACAAGAGTGTGTGTTATACAAGGTGTGTGTTATACAAGGTGTGTGTTATACAAGGTGTGTGTTATACAAGAGTGTGTGTTATACAAGGTGTGTGTTATACAAGGTGTGTGTTATACAAGGTATGTGTTATACAAGGTGTGTGTTATACAAGGTGTGTGTTATACAAGGTGTGTGTTATACAAGGTGTGTGTTATACAAGGTGTGTGTTATACAAGGTGTGTGTTATACAAGAGTGTGTGTTATACAAGGTGTGTGTTATACAAGGTGTGTGTTATACAAGGTATGTGTTATACAAGGTGTGTGTTATACAAGAGTGTGTGTTATACAAGAGTGTGTGTTATACAAGGTGTGTGTTATACAAGAGTGTGTGTTATACAAGGTATGTGTTATACAAGAGTGTGTGTTATACAAGAGTGTGTGTTATACAAGGTGTGTGTTATACAAGAGTGTGTGTTATACAAGGTATGTGTTATACAAGAGTGTGTGTTATACAAGAGTGTGTGTTATACAAGAGTGTGTGTTATACAAGGTATGTGTTATACAAGAGTGTGTGTTATACAAGAGTGTGTGTTATACAAGAGTGTGTGTTATACAAGAGTGTGTGTTATACAAGAGTGTGTGTTATACAAGAGTGTGTGTTATACAAGAGTGTGTGTTATACAAGGTGTGTGTTATACAAGAGTGTGTGTTATACAAGGTGTGTGTTATACAAGAGTGTGTGTTATACAAGGTGTGTGTTATACAAGAGTGTGTGTTATACAAGGTGTGTGTTATACAAGAGTGTGTGTTATACAAGGTGTGTGTTATACAAGGTGTGTGTTATACAAGAGTGTGTGTTATACAAGGTGTGTGTTATACAAGAGTGTGTGTTATACAAGGTGTGTGTTATACAAGGTGTGTGTTATACAAGGTGTGTGTTATACAAGAGTGTGTGTTATACAAGAGTGTGTGTTATACAAGAGTGTGTGTTATACAAGGTGTGTGTTATACAAGAGTGTGTGTTATACAAGAGTGTGTGTTATACAAGGTGTGTGTTATACAAGGTGTGTGTTATACAAGGTGTGTGTTATACAAGGTGTGTGTTATACAAGAGTGTGTGTTATACAAGGTGTGTGTTATACAAGAGTGTGTGTTATACAAGGTGTGTGTTATACAAGGTGTGTGTTATACAAGGTGTGTGTTATACAAGAGTGTGTGTTATACAAGAGTGTGTGTTATACAAGAGTGTGTGTTATACAAGAGTGTGTGTTATACAAGGTGTGTGTTATACAAGGTGTGTGTTATACAAAGTGTGTGTTATACAAGGTGTGTGTTATACAAGAGTGTGTGTTATACAAGGTGTGTGTTATACAAGGTGTGTGTTATACAAGGTGTGTGTTATACAAGGTGTGTGTTATACAAGGTGTGTGTTATACAAGGTGTGTGTTATACAAGAGTGTGTGTTATACAAGAGTGTGTGTTATACAAGAGTGTGTGTTATACAAGAGTGTGTGTTATACAAGAGTGTGTGTTATACAAGAGTGTGTGTTATACAAGGTGTGTGTTATACAAGGTGTGTGTTATACAAGAGTGTGTGTTATACAAGAGTGTGTGTTATACAAGAGTGTGTGTTATACAAAGT